GGTTAGAACTAGAACAGAGTTTAAAGAGAAGTTAGATAAAGTCATGGAGGCTGGGTCCATGGAGTGATATTAGCCAGGAGATAGAAATGGTGGCCCTGGCCTCTGTTTTGGAAGGCTGAAGATGGATGGCACGAGACAAATGGCTTGGTCATTGTCTCCGGTCCACCCCCTCCGGCGTAGCTGGTGTTGGCCGCTGACGGCAGACAGGCTACTGGGCTAGATGGACCTTTGGTCTGACCCAGTACGGCCGTTCTAAACTCAGGGCTCAGGGTCGGGGGGCTCACTGGACCACCTTGATTTTCATGCAAACCTGCTCCTGGGTGTCTAGGCTGGCAGCTATCCTGCCCTAGACAGCCACTTTCCTGTGCCTAGCGCGGAGGTCATGGATGAGGGCCACAATCTCTGCACTAGACCAGGCAGGCGCCCGCCTCTTGCGACCCCGGGCAGGCTCCGGGGAGCCGCCAGCCTGGTCCCGGGAAGAGGCGGAGGGCTGGGTGGCAGTGGGTGGCTGGTTCATGCCGTGCCAGGTGCAGGGTCTGCTGGCTGGGTGCGGGCAGGCTTGCACCTGGGACGGGCACCATAGCCAGACCGTGCCCCTTCAAGGGCCCCAGGGCCGGGAGGGGGGTAGAAGAGTTTCCCTGGTGGTGCCCAGAGTGGCCACCAGGGAAAGCTGGGGGAGGCTAGCCTCCCACTAGTTCGAATTAAGTGGCTACACAGCCCTTAATTCGAACTACTGAATTCAAACTAGGCATTAGTCCTCGTAGAAGGGGGTTTCCTATTTCGAATTAAGTGCTCCACTAGTTCGAATTAGCTTAGTTTGAATTAGCTAATTCGAATTGTTAGTTCAAATTAGTGCTGTAGTGTAGACATACCCGAATAGACTAATTTTCAAACATCTTTGAAAGCCCCCAGCTCAACTTAGCCACTGAACTGTTGATGAGCCCTTCAGACAGTCTGAGAAATTAGAGACCCAAAAAACCCAGTAGGTCCCATCTAGTCTGGTGATTCCCTTGCTTCTGCCCATGCAAGAATGTTTCCTAATCCCTACCGTTGTTCTCCAGGCCCTTGCCCAGTCCTGGTTTTAAATGACTCCAGCCATGGCAATCCTGCCTCTTCCAATGGACAGTTAGGATAAGTCTACACAGCAGGGCTAAAGTTGAATTACGCTATGCAACTTCAGCTACGTCAATTGCGTAGCCGAAGTCAAAATAGCTTAACTTGGCTTTTGGTGCTGTCTACGTACCAAAGTAGGCATACTTATGCCTACTTTGAAGTAGGAATAAGAGATCCTCCAGAATAGGGCTTTATTCCGGCGGATCGGGCCAGTCTAGACGCTTTTTTCCGGCTTTTCCCCGAGCCAGAAAAAAGCGGCGGACATCTTTATTTAAATCCCACGGGGGATATTTAAATCCCCCGTGGATTTCCCTATTCCGAAGTTTAAAATTAGCATGCCCCTTTCGAAAAAGGGGCCAGTGTAGAC